ACTGTTTTACAATCTCTTAATGAAAGTGATACATATGGAGCTTGCTGAGCTCCAATACTGTAAAGCTTATGTAGATGGGTTTGTTGAAACACATTGTTTCCCTAGCCAACTCTACAGCACAAAGGTTTTCATTGTAAATTATTTTGTTTTTAAAACGAGTTTTATTAATCAATCTATTGAGACGTTTTTCATTAGTTACCAGCTCAATATTCGTACGTTTTCTTATGTTTTCTATGCTTTTACCAAACAGTGCATTGTTTAACAGCTTATAAAAGTTCTTATCAAAATCGTTTTTGGCGACTTTCCTTTTCTCTGTATTAAAATCTATGTACGGTTTTAACCACCTACTCTGATTAAACTTAAGTATTCTACGTATTTTTATCAAAACTAGACCGTGATCAAGGGCTTGTTTTAAATTACGGTAGTGACACACGTAATTGTGCTTATGATCAAGTGTTGTTAGCAATTTTTCTTGCTTCGACCACACAGGACATTTCTTTTCAGGTAAAAATGGCAGATCTTTGTGTTCATCGTGGAGATACGATGGATAACCGACATCGCATTCCAGGATGAACCCAACATCCGCATCGTCTGGTGCAACCATTGCATCAAGGTTCTCCACTTGTTTCTTACTTAGCCAGTTAAAAGATTTAATAGGAATGTAATCTACCATACTATTTCCATACAAATTGTTTGCATCGAGATATGTTAAATAAGATGTTTCCTTTGAGGAATCGTATAAAGACTTCATATAGGGATTATTGGCTACAGCGTGTCGTTTAACACACGTTGTTACACCACCTCTTATGACTTTTTCTAAGAAAAGGTATTTATCGTAATCTAGGAGTAACTCCAGCTTAACATTCGTATATTTTAACATTGTATCAAATGTTAGACCGGGCAAAGTTATAATCTTTAAGACATAATCTTAATAGATTCTAAATCATAATCTTTAAGACAAATAGTTCGAAATCTTTCAAAAACATCGGCTAAAAGCAATACGTCTAATTTCAAATACAAATCACTGTATTCTCCGAGAGTTTTACAATTAAATACATCCCATTTAAACTGAAACAAAACAGGACAGTGCTTTAATTTCTTAAAACCAATAAATAACAATTTTTTAAATGTTTATTTTTTCGCAGTTTTTTTTATTTATTAAAATCTTTGACTAACAAGTAAATAATATTATTATATTAGGAAATCAAAATCCTTATCACCAAAAAAATTAGCTTAAACCAAAGACCGTTATCTGCAAATATAACTTTATTGAATTTGAAATGAAAAATAACACAAAATAAATGTGGTAATATTTAAATTTAAAAAATGTTTCAAACATAATACTTACTTAACAAAATTGATAAAGCAGCAAAAAGGTGCCATCAAATTCAGAAGTCATTCGCTGATCGTTCGATCGCTGGTCGATCGTTTTTGGAATAATGTCCTGTCAAAAACGTCTTGTGTTGGCAAGTTAAACTGAATCAAAACGGGACAGTGCTTTAATTTCTTAAAACCAAAAAAAATTTCAATATTTATTTAATATCAAAGTTAATTTTTTCGCTGTTTTTTCATTTATTAAAATCTTTGACTAACAAGTAAATAATATAATTTTGTTAGAAAATCAAAATTCTTATCACCAATATATTATTGGTTAAAACCAAAAGCCGTTATCCGCAAATATAAGTTTATTGAATTTGAAATGAAGAATTTATAACCACACATTATATATATAATCAAAAATCTTGACCGTAAATACTCGGTTGTGTAAAGAATGGGTTTATTTATTTAGTGAATATTTGAATTAAACAGACAAAATACATAACACCTTATCAAATAAATTAATCATTAAAAGCTAATATCACAAATGAATTCCCATTTAAATAAATAATAACTTGAAAAGACTTTAAAGTGAACCAAGGGTCAGTTACACAGACTTATACCCACATACCTGCTAACACATTCAGTAGAATCTAGATGCTGGTCGTTCGACTGTTGAGATGATTGTATGTAACTCTAAACTCAACAGTTCGCAAGAACCTAAACTGCAACCTCAAGAGTGGTGGGGCTTATGACGTTAATGCAGGTTTCCAAAATTATCTCAAACCATATTTAGCAATGCCGATAATGTTGCAGCTTCTAAACAATTGCAGAGACTGTTGCCAAATTTTTGGCTAAGCTCTCTGCTAAAAATATAAACTGAACTAAACCAGATTGTAAATCAATAAATTTTGTCAAAAAAAGACAGCATGTTATTTAAATGTTTATTTAAAAAAAACCTAAAATTTATTAAACTGTCTAAGTATCAACAACTTACCTTGGCGAGAACAATCTGTAACCGCTACACTGACAACAACAGTCTCTGATGAAACGGGGTAAAACTTAGTTAATTAAACACAAAAACTGTGTGATCTCATTTGCCAATTATTTGTCACGTCCCACACCACGAAGGAAATTGTTTAACTCGTCAATTACATTGAACTGATTCCTATGCTCAATTAATACAGCCTTCTCAGAAAATTCTTCTTCATACAAAGTTCCATCTATTATCCACAGCCGATTGTTAAAATTATTTTATGTGAAATGTTTCTCATGCAAATCATTTAAATCAATTAGGTATTGCATGGATATTTTTCTTTCTCCTAATTCCTACTTCTGCCAATAATTCTTTGCATACAAGTTTGAGGATCTCTTAAATACAGAGTCAAAGTGTCTTTATGCTCTTTCAATAAATCAATTGTTTTATCTTTGATATTGTCCAAAATAGCTTTTTCCGCTTTGTGGAGTACATTGCTGCTCAAATACTCTGAAATAGTATATTACGTTACTAGTCCTGAAAATAAGTGTTTACCGGACGAGTGTGGTCGTTCCCGTGCGAGACGAAGTCGAGTACGGGATTACCATACGAGTCCGGTACACACATTTTGGACGAGTTACGTACGATAGTTTACGCCATATTACTAAATCTGTACAAATCCTTATATATTACTACCAACTAAAGGACTAAAAATCACTACTGTAGTCATAACCTCTAAACGAGGTTATGTTTTTGTTTACAACCACTCATTGCCACCCAAAATACAGTATAATCAGCTGATTGGTGTCCGGTAAAACTCATTACAGTACAGTATTACGCAATGAAACCCCATTTGATTAAGCTGGCGGCAAACAGCTGTTTTCTGGACTAAATACTTGCGTGGGAAGTTCGTTAAAACAGTGAAGTATGGCGTAAATATGTTAATTACACTAAACGAAGAACATTCCATTATTACAACATGGTTTGCTTTTGAGAACTCTATTGCCTTTGTTTCCACATGTCTCATGTCGGTTAAAGCATTTATTTGGAATGCAAAAGACCATCTGTCTTTGTCATCGTAGTATAATTTTAATAAATTTTCTCCATTACAATTAACCCAATCCTCAACCGGTTCTGGAAAATAAATCACGTTGTAAACAAAAGACCGTAGTGTTTTACTAAGATACTGTCCATATGTACTTTTACCTGCGCCAATATTCTTACTAACAAGCTAGAACGATGTTGTGCTTGAAAACACTTAATTAGATACAAGGCGACGTAATTAAACACGTTGGTGTGGGTAATTGTTCTTATCGGTACGCACACAATTTTACCACGATTGAAAATAAACCGACAGTGCACTGTGAGTGCATACGGGAGTTGACAAACACTGCATGCTAAATATAGCGGTCGTGAAGGCTGGTCGCGCGACTCAATGCCAGAAAACTCAACAGAGGGTACTGGCCAGTACCCGGCCAACTACTGTGTAGTGTGTACTAACCGCGATAGACATGGAAGAGGTGTCATACATAGCATGGTAGGTATGTCATAGTATGTGGACCCTTTCTTGCCAACTACTGTGTAGTGTGTACTAACCGCGATAGACATGGAAGAGGTGTCATACATAGCATGGTAGGTATGTCATAGTCTGTGGACCCTTTCTTGCCAACTACTGTGTAGTGTGTACTAACCGCGATAGACATGGAAGAGGTGTCATACATGGCATGGTAGGTATGTCATAGTATGTGGACCCTTTCTTGCCAACTACTGTGTAGTGTGTACTAACCGCGATAGACATGGAAGAGGTGTCATACATAGCATGGTAGGTATGTCATAGTATGTGGACCCTTTCTTGCCAACTACTGTGTAGTGTGTGCTAACCGCGATAGACATGGAAGAGGTGTCATACATAGCATGGTAGGTATGTCATAGTCTGTGGACCCTTTCTTGCCAACTACTGTGTAGTGTGTACTAACCGCGATAGACATGGAAGAGGTGTCATACATAGCATGGTAGGTATGTCATAGTATGTGGACCCTTTCTTGCCAACTACTGTGTAGTGTGTACTAACCGCGATAGACATGGAAGAGGTGTCATACATAGCAAGGTAGGTATGTCATAGTATGTGGACCCTTTCTTGCCAACTACTGTGTAGTGTGTACTAACCGCGATAGACATGGAAGAGGTGTCATACATAGCATGGTAGGTATGTCATAGTATGTGGACCCTTTCTTGCCAACTACTGTGTAGTGTGTACTAACTGCGATAGACATGGAAGAGGTGTCATACATAGCATGGTAGGTATGTCATAGTATGTGGACCCTTTCTTGCCAACTACTGTGTAGTGTGTACTAACTGCGATAGACATGGAAGAGGTGTCATACATAGCAAGGTAGGTATGTCATAGTATGTGGACCCTTTCTTGCCAACTACTGTGTAGTGTGTACTAACCGCGATAGACATGGAAGAGGTGTCATACATAGCATGGTAGGTATGTCATAGTATGTGGACCCTTTCTTGCCAACTACTGTGTAGTGTGTACTAACCGCGATAGACATGGAAGAGGTGTCATACATAGCATGGTAGGTATGTCATAGTCTGTGGACCCTTTCTTGCCAACTACTGTGTAGTGTGTACTAACCGCGATAGACATGGAAGAGGTGTCATACATAGGATGGTAGGTATGTCATAGTATGTGGACCCTTTCTTGCCAACTACTGTGTAGTGTGTACTAACCGCGATAGACATGGAAGAGGTGTCATACATAGCAAGGTAGGTATGTCATAGTATGTGGACCCTTTCTTGCCAACTACTGTGTAGTGTGTACTAACCGCGATAGACATGGAAGAGGTGTCATACATAGCATGGTAGGTATGTCATAGTATGTGGACCCTTTCTTGCCAACTACTGTGTAGTGTGTACTAACCACGATAGACATGGAAGAGGTGTCATACATAGCATAGTAGGTATGTCATAGTATGTGGACCCTTTCTTGCTTGTAACAGCAATATCTGACTACTAATCGGCAATAATTTTAAAAATAATGGTTTCCAGCCTGGTTACAAACTCAACAGAAAACCTATACAAGGGCAGAAACAATCGATAGATAAAAAACAGGATATCACATTTTCACATTTTCACAGGATATCAGGGGTATATCTGATTCAATGCAACAAAGGCGACAAATGTGACAAAAAATATGTTGGATACACCAATAGGTCATTTTATCAAAGGTTCAAGGAACACAATGCCACCAAGCAAGTTAATCCAACGTCGATTGTTGCTCAACATCTTCAGAGTAATAAGGGTCAAAAAATTTATTTTGAAAAATCATTAATTGTTTTAAAAAGATGTGGCCAAAAAAACAAAGCAAAGGTATGAGAGGAATTATTTATTTTCCAACATATGAGAGGACACGGCAATGAAACTATGTTAAATAAATAAAAAGAGAGGAATATTCAGACAAAATCACCTATCAGCTGTTCTGTGATGTAGATAACACAACTGGAAATAAGAACCGCCAGTCAGCTGATACCGTGACGTCACTCTCCCGTGTTCAAGTTCCTCAGTAGGCCTACAACTGTCGCCCGGTCGAGGTTATCTTTATTTAACCGTGCGTACGCAAACATGTTTAAGGTACCTACAACTGCAAAACGCGTGTGTGTTCTTTGTATATATTTCCGTGTGTTCGTGTGTGTATATATAAACTGTAAATAGTCGACAAACATCGTTTGATGTGATTTTTTTAAATTCAAGAATGCTGCTGAAGATGAGCTGTAAGTAGCTCGAAACATGTACAGCATATGTTAACATCTGACACCTCAATTAATTCCTAAAGATACTATGGATTAGTATCTACATACCAAATTTCAACAAAATCAGACTACAGGTGTGGTCTGTAGCTACATGTATACACACACACACACACACACACAGGTTTTAGAGATCACTTCAAAAACCACTTTTTTGGGTCCAGGCCTCAAGGGGACACAAAAAAAATGTATATCCAATCAAAACTCAATCTCCAAAATTTTAACGAAAACAATACTTTCTCCATTTTCTCTGGTATAGGGGGAGAAAGTCGAAAGTATTGACAATTACTGTAGATTAAGGCTTTGATGTTTGTTTGCCAGCTAACAATGGGTGTAATGTTTTTAGGTAACCCTAGATGTCTGAAGTTGTTGGAGGAGTGGGGGTTTCAGGTGTATGAAGTTGTTGCGGAGGAGTGTGTTACTGTATGTTGTGGAGTCTGTATGTGTCTTGGATTTACATCTGTAGGCCTATATAAACTTGTACATAAGGAATTCATTCATTGGTAGGCTAATAGTAGAAGAGAAAAATTGTTTTTGTGTATCATAAGATGTGTTATTTAAAAAATGTTCCTGATTAAAAGGTTTACTTTATTTCGTGTTTGTATATCCTTGTTCTTCTCAATAGATTAAATATGGTTATTTTAATAGTTTAAACACCCAACTTAAAAATACATATGATGTTTTTATACATTAATCTGATAGTTGTTAAATACTGTGACCTTGTTATTCTCACATGTAAAAGAGCTGGGAGGGTGTTAAATAATCAAGTTTTACATTTTATAAGGGATCTGTCAAAACCCTATAGGCTTTTTAGTTGAAGTCAATGTTTTGTTAGGTAGCATTGTTAGGCAATAGCCTAATGACAAATGGCTTCTGGATCTAGAAATGGAGTTATATGGAATCGAACCAGTGACCTTTAAATTTGAAGGCTATCAATATAACCACTATCAGTTCAGGGTCTGGCTACCGTAAAACACTCATACAGTCACAACACTGTTTGAGATACACTGTTTTTACATTATTTTACTAACTATTTATATAGGCCTGCCATTTATTTTTATATATTAAAACAAGTGTTAATAAATTCTTATGAGAAAGTGCAATGTCTTTACTGCATTTGTTGGTTGTTGGGAGTGATGTGACTGCCACAGTCCAGGAACAAGGGCACAAGCCAATAAGAAATGGGAAAGTGAGGCAATATGTCACTAGTTTACATGCCCTTAGGTAAGTTGCTTGGCGACTGTCTAGAAACATGATGCAAAATATGTCACTGTAAAAGGCTAGTTTACATACCCTTAGTTAAGTTGCTTGTCAACAGTCTAGGAATGTGAGGCAAAATAAAATACAACCCAACAGAACAACTATCAATGCCTAGGGGTGTAGATGAACATTTTTACAGAAGAAAAATTTATTTTACAATGCTCATGAAGCTTTTGCATAGATTACAGAAGATTAATTTAAAAAAACATTGGTGTTCACACGTTTGGTGTTAACGCTTTGCTCTATGATAAGGAATATTCCTTATCTCAAACTGTGATACATATGATCCTAGTCAATTTTTTTCAGAGAAGTGATTTTTATAATGCATTTAGTGTTGTACAAGTCAAAAACAAGCTATTCATTAAGAATTACCTTGTAAAATGCCTTCAATAAAAAAATAAAAGGCCATTAAATTTCAACCATCAAAAAATATCCAATCAATATCATAAATTGCTGATTAAATTATATTTCCCGAAAGACCATGAACGATTGGAATTGCACAGTAAGTAAAACGACTCATCTTTGACACCCTGAAGTGGTCAATTATGATGGCCACAGGCTGCTTGTCCACTATTTATCCCAGGAGCTGCTGTAATATTATGTACGTGTGGAACAGCCACCAGTTGAAACTCGGATGAGAGTGATACCACCCGATCACCTTCTGACATCGCCCCGTCTGCCCCAACAGTTTCGTCGCCTCTTTTTGGTACAGTGTATAAACGTCCATTGCTTTCGGAACAATGCCCTAGTGTCAACAGACATAAGACTCCTTTCTATTAAGTATTCTGTTTAGTCTGACCAACACAACATAGAGAATGATTTTAACAGTTTTTGACCCAATATTTTAAACTAGATTTCTACCCTAATTGTAATGCCAAATCTGTTTGTAAAGGTCTTGATCCATTCCAAAGTTATGAAGACTTCATAACTTTATTTTTATCCCATTTTAAGATTGTGCATTTACAAACTAAGACCATAATCTCAAAATAGTGCTAGACAAAGATAAGTATACACCACTAGTCATTGTCGACCTATTTTCACTTGGTTATGACGGATTTAGTTTTTTCGGTGGTCATCTTGGATCCGCAATTTTGAAATTTGTTTTAAGTATGATGGTGGTGTTGTGACCCATCATTTCGAATTATATTTTTAAGCTGAGCTCAATGCCACAATCCGTTTTTGTTATAAAGTTTCCTTTATGAAAAATTGAAAATTGTTATTTAAATGTTAAATGTTGATATGTTTGTCCTGAGAAGTTTTTGAGGCATAATAATTTTGTTAAACACTTGGAAGATGTATATTCCTAGCTAGCTCAAACTATTACACATATTTTAAATGACCAAGATACTCGGGAATATGGGGAGTACTTTGTACAGTAGACCAGAGCAGTGGGCCTATTGCTTCCATATTGGTTAAGGGTTCAATACAAACATGTATTTAGAATCATTCCATTGAAAAACATTGAAGCATTTGTACCTGGAAGGGGAAAAAGTTAAGTGTTTGGACAAAACTATCAACGCTGTCATGAAAGTGGCACGTGATAGTTTGTTTAAACGTTTGATTAAACTTCATAAAAAATCTCCTTCTGAAAGAGTCTTGATAATCAACAAGTCCCTTAAAGCAAGTGAAGCAATAGGCCCATCTGCCTCAACTGTTGTTAAAGAAGGGGAAGAGTGGCGTAACCTCCTCAAATGGGGTAGAACATTACATTATAACCAAATCACAGACTTTTTGTGAAGACGGTTGTGTGAGGTGTTCTTTGTGTAATATATGTATTCATATTTTTAACCCTCCAAGTGTCTCCAGTTTTGGTCTTAATGTTCGCCCATTTATTGCGCAATCGCAGGGTTTTATTAAAATGTATCTTAGAAACTTAAAAGCAATGTAAAGTATACAGTTTTATATATCATTTTGTTTGGAAAATAATGGCCTTCAATGTAACATATAAAACATTACAAAAAAATTTTCAACAATTTTTGTGGGGTTAACATTTTTCAAAAATTATAAAATATGAATGAAAAAAAAATAAATATGTTTGCGCTCAATAAATTGTTATAATTTATCGGTCTACAAATACTTTAAAATAGCCACTTTGTTTAGAATTTTATGAGGATTCCAAAAATATAGTAATATAAGGAAGTAGATGTGCAAATAAATAAGTTATGGGAAAAAACAGATTTCGGTACATAGCGTTTAGCTAAGAAAGAATGCATAGCCTAACCATAGCTAAGAATCTGGCTGATAATTTACATCAATATCACTACCTACTTCTTCAGGATTATCAACCAGCCCTTCAAAATCACTTAAATCTTCTTATAATGCACCACGTATATCACTACCGGTACTTTTGATTTTTAACACTAAAACAATGATAAACGTAATAAAACACATCAGTCATCGGTGCGAGGTTAACCAAGCTGTTTACAAATACGCACGTCAGCTGTCTGCTACAATTATGATCGGCTCAAGAAAAAAAACGCTTAGAGACAGACTTCGGGAGAAAGCTTAGAATCTGCCAAAAAAACTATACCTAACTCGATCCAGTTCAATCCGATTTAGTCAGTCATAGAGCCTTCGCCGTAAACAGTGTTTGTGAGTCGCAAAAGCGACACAAAACACTACACAAAGTGTGTTATGAGTCGCTTTTACTACACATAACACTCGGAGGGATAAGTGCTCTTGTCATGACAATGTTATAATAAAAATGAATATTTGCAAGCATATTCATGCCTGATGTAGGGTTTTTGACCTAGCTGGACCTGAAATCAGCTGTGAAAATAATGTAAATACTCTTATAGCCCAGACAAAGGTTAATACAAATTTAGCTAAGTCACGGCAATTAATCAACAAAGCCAGCAGGATCCTAGACTTGTTAAATAAAATCAGGTTAAGCTATGATGATTGCAAATCAGTTGAAAAAGAATTAGATGGTGCAATAAGTTTGCTAAACTCGTTATCAGGTAAGAAACTTGAATGTAAAGGCAAAATTAATACAAATGCAAATATTGGACCTCAAGCCAGACTGTTCTCTGTTAAAAAGAAGGCAATGCGCTTGAAAAGGCTCAATAAACCTAAGTTATATTCAATGAAAGTATTAACATCATTCAAGGATTAACATGTAATTCTCAGGTAGTGATGAATGTTCACACGGGAAATGACCACACATATATTATAATAATATATATATTATACATATTACATTATTTTATTGTATATTACATATATACAGTATGTATTATATATTATAATAACATATATTATATTATAATGATAAGTGCTAACGTCTTGTACAAGAACTATACTCTGAAGTTACTTTTACATTACTGAAGGTACTTTTATTCCTACTGATGTGTTTTTTGTACATCCTTATATATAATACGTGAAGGCGATTTCTACAAAACACTACTCCTCCGTTAATAATGGACGGATTTTTACAAACGAAGTGTCAAAATAAAGTATTTTTTGTCTAGACGCCCCCTTTCAACAATTCCTGTAATAAAAGTCCTCGGGCTTTGCCCCACAGGCCATCAAAGTTGGAGTTTCTCCCATAAGATTAACATGGGGGAATCTAAATATTTAATTGGAAACTTTGTCCCCACTAATTTGAGAGAACGGCTGGGGGTAGAAACTTGGTAGAGGTGTCTAAAGAAAGGTCTTGGTCTGTAGATGAGTTATCAAACGAAAAACTAAGCAAAATCCATTAGGACTCTGCCCCAGAAGCCTTTAAAGATCCTTCCACAGAGTTGTTTACATTTTGGCCATGTGAATAATACTTTTTAATGAATCAGCTGTTCATTTTTAAATTGTATTTGAAACAACACATATTTATTGGAAGTTACTGAATTCTGATTCTACCAAATAAGTATTTGCAATGTTATTTTCTGATTTTAAAATTGATTTTCTTCTTTATCATGTCATGTTTTCCAATATAACGTTCCATTACGAAATCAGTGGAAAATCCTTTTATCAGAGCAATTCTTAAGTTATTTCTTATTGAACTATCTTATATCTATTGTACGGGTTAGTGTCTGCCTTTTTCACCACTTTTGCCTACATCTATTATATTATTAAAGTGATACAATCAAATTTTATGTAAACGGTTAAGGCCATTTACCAAATAAAAATATAGGCTTATGGCACGTGAAAATGAAGCTTAGAGTGTGTAGATTTGCCGAAAAGTATTGATATGGATGAATGTCCTAAGGGCTCTGCCCCACAGGCTGATTTCCAAAGGGCTACGCCTGGCATGCTTCCTAAGTTTACATGATTTAATTTAATTTAGCTAATGAAACAGCTGGTCAGTACAATGAACCGGTGTTTGTTTATTTAC